TTGTTATCACTTCCATTTCTCAGTTCAGCATCTAATAGCCAATCCACATGAAAAGTAGAAATAGTCCTGAAATAATGAAGATGCTGAAAAGTACTTTATATGAAATGGACAGAAGGGCCCGTTCCGGATATCTCTTACTGCCCCTGATGCAGCGAGGCATTCCTGTAGTACAGAAAAGAAGAAAAGTTGTGTCGTGGTGTTCAATATCACTGGTAGCCTGTTTACATGTGAGCTGGTAGAGTACCTTATGTAGTAATTCTACGTGTATCTGGCCAGCTTGTCATGCCCGACTACTTCCATCAATGACAGACTGCATTTCTGGTGGCGGCTGTTAGCTTTTGGCACCTTTGGCAACTAAAATGTGCATTTTATGCTTGTGCATATTTCTGAATTGTTTCGGGGCTAATGGTAGTTCACCAGTATTTCGAACGCCACAGCGATGACCATCTCATTTGATTTACACTGGCACAGGAACGGAGCAAGTAAGGGAAAACCCAACTGCAATGAAGTTGAAACCTTGACTAAGACTAAGAAAAGAAAAAGTAGTAAGAACAAGTTCATCAATTGGTAAGTCCTTTACAGAACGTTGCTCTCTTCACAGCATGAAAGTTTCCCTTTCCCTAGCCAGCTCTCCAGCCCCATGTGCGTTTAATGCTAATGCATCTTCAATGTCCTGTATCCATCTTTGGGGTGGACGACCCCTGCCTCGCTTTCCACAAACTGCACCCTCTATCACTGTCCTTTCCAAGCCACTTTGACATTTAATGGAGCCAAAATACATTAACATTCAGGACAGGATGCTGTTTATGAGCCAGTTAGGACAAGTCAGTTAACCAGTAAAACATATGTAACGTCAAATTTAAGTTAAGGACTCTTTTCATACCTGTAGCACACCTGGCACATAGTGCAAGTATTTGTATAGACTAATCAGCACACAGCAGGTTGTAAGGCCCACCTGAATGCTGAATTAGGAATCAATATCAAAGCACTGGGGATACTCCCATAAGCGGTCTTTCCCATCTTCAGCAGCAAGCAAAGAGTTCCGATCCCTATAGTATTAGTAACTGACTATATATCCGACCCTTGAGTGTCCAGTGTCTGCTGGACCAGCTGGTAACTCCTTGCAGCGCCATTCTCCTCAGACAGTAAGAACTATTATACCCACCTATCAGCGCTGTGCTGTTGCCTCTAGCATGTTTCTTAGTGTGTTTATTTGGACAACTTAAGTGACTCTGTGCATTCTTGATTGTATATGTCGTAATGTATTTTCATTTAATGTGCTGATGAAGAATCTCTAGCTGCAGCGTTCAATTGTCGTTTGTGTTTGTGATCATGCAAAGCTGACTGGTTCTAATTTTTGTTTGCCTTGTTATCATTTCTTTACACAGAATAGTTGAGAAAAGTCTACCATGAGAAGCCAAAGCACTATATATGCAAAAGATTTACTCAACATCAAAACGATACACCCAGAATCAATCAAGTTAACCCATTAACAGATGATGTACCACAGAGAGAAGCAGGAATGTGTTCCATTAGGTGCAGTGACGATCATTAAAACTAAACACCAAACATATCAAAAGGTGCTCTGTCTCCTCCTCCATAGTTCATTTGCTCAACCAAATATTCAAAATGCTCGAGCAGTTTGTGTACACCCTCATGCAAAGAAAAGATAAAATGGATCTCTTAAAAAAATTAGTAGTAGTAGTAGTACATTTTACCCCACTAGGACATCATACAAGCGATAAACACCCGATGACACAAAGAGCCACCATGTGGATGAGGATCACCCGTGGAGAGGTCCCGGAAACCACGTTCAGCCGTTAGGCCAAATTTATGGCCGGGTTATATTGCGGCCCCTGACAAGAGCCAGGGTGGGGCTTCAAAATAACGAAAAATTGCATCCCACAAGAGAATGACTATTGATCCAATAAACAAATAAAAAGAATGCAATAAAAAATTGTTCCCATAAAATAGACATCAATAAATAAGTTATTACATGTTTTCTGTAAATTATGACTAAAATAAAGAACAACAAAAAAAGAAATATGACGACAGGATGCCTGAAGTATTTACAACAAAGTGGCACCATGGAATAATAATCAAAACTAATCTTTAATTACAAAAACAAGTTATAACAGCATTATCTTTAAATGAAAACACCTTGAATTATTCCCCTTTGATCTGCAGACATAATGCCTGGAGCTCTTCAAACTCAGAATCTCAAATTGTTCCCCATTTACCAAACTTTTGCCTACACATGTTTTTATATTCACACACATTTATAAAAGAAAACACATATCCCCACACACAAATACACATACATGCAAATGTAATTTTTACAAATGTGTAGTGATTAAGCTAAGAATGCAAGGAATGCATAGTGGACTTTAAATGTGAAATAGAAAATCAATATAACACACGACTGAGCATAAAAGATAATGTCTTTAGAAAATATAACCGAAAACAAATATCTTATGAACAAAGAAACGACAATAAACAAAGTCAAGTAAACATACTTAGCACACAGTAAAATGAAAAACTTTTAACTGAATATGCACAGTGAAATTAACAACTTCAACTGAAGATGCAGAGTGAAATGAACAACTTCAACTGAACATGCACAATAAAAAAAGAATAACTTCAAATGTACATATCAAGTAAAGAAATGGGACCCTTTTCCATGCCCTTGGGTGTACTGGATATATAGTGTTAGGCCTATAGTTTCTAGATCAATCTGCATTCTGTAGGTAATGTGGTCAACATCCCCTGGCCAACTTTACTTCCCAAAACTTTACCTTGTAACGATTTTAGTCTAGCACAACACGGGACCATTGAAAGAAATATAACTTGGTATGGAATTGAACCCACAGCTTCTGGGTCTGCAAATGAACGTTTAGTCACTACACCAAAGTGAGCAACCTCAACTGAATCTGTTTCAACTGAAATATACTTAGCCTAGTGTGAGATGATTAACTGTAACTGAATCTACTTGCATACAGAAGAAATGAACAATTTCAAATGAAATATACAGAGCGCTTGGTGAAGTGAACAACTTTAACTGACCATACCAGCATACATTCAAATCAATGAACAACTTCAATTGGACATACTCAGCTCACAATAAAATGAACAACTTCAACTGAACATACTCAGCATACAATAAAATGAACAACTCCAACTGAACATACTCAGCACACAATAAAATGAACAATTTCAACTGAAAAATAGCACACGGTGAAATAAATTACTTTAAATGAACATATTAGTATAAATGAAAATGAACAACTTCAGCTGAACATATTCAGCACACAATAAAATGAACAAAACAACTAACTGCTAGGGCTGCTTATTGTTAAACAAGACTCCAATAGAAGACACAGTCTCTGCACACAAGATTATGGCACAATGTGGAAATTGTTTTATAATAGGGTGAGTATAATTATGATGAAGGTAAACAGAACAACAGACAACCACATGGCAAATACCTCCTCAGGGTTGTGAAGATGCTTGACTTTCACATAATAGTTCATTGCACAATGAGGTGGGATGATCAGCTGCCATTCTCATTATCCTGCCTTCCCACATAAATCAGATATATCTCTGGCGCCCCTTTTGTTAAATTTTCGTATTATTATTTTTCTTTCTTCTCATTTATCTTCTTCTTGTACTTCTTTCTGTTTATTTTTTTTTTAACTATCATTCCTCATTCTCTTTCTTATTCTCCTTCTTTCCATCTTTATTGTATGGACTCTTCTCCTTAGTGTTCACTGGCTATAAGCTATGGAGGAAAGTTCTAATTGTCTGCCAACTTCTGGATTTTTGTCTAATTCAAGGACTTGAATTTTGCATGCACATCCATTTTACAGATTCAGCTTGTTTGTATGCAGAATGTTGGTTGTGTATATAAAATTAGAAAAACTGAAAATGTACATGCCAAACACATATTGGGGATTTGGCACATAGAAAAATATAAGACAGTAACATGAGATGAAAGAACAATAGTCTGTCAGAGCATACAACTAAAGAGAGAAACCAAAAGTGTTGGAAATCCGTTGCGGCCAATCTTCCCAGAGTATTAAAAAAATCCATGTTTTGGGTGACTCATGTCATAAAACCATTACCTATATCAGTGAGGGTTACAGGACAATTTTACATTACCACATTTTTAATTAGCAAAGAAATTCATACCCTGACCTCCTAAACACTTAATAACACGAATACAGCCAATGGAAATAACTATGACTTTAGAAAAGTCAGTAAAGTGACTTTTATGGGAATTGGACCCAACTAGAAGTGTCAGTTTTAGGGGCTTCATGGGCAAAAGGTTTAACCAATAAGTGTATTTAGATGTATGATGACTAAAGTTTGTCTATCATGGTATATTTTGCACAACCAATTTCCTTCATTAATCCGCCATCATCATTTGGAGGCAGCCAGTTCAAATTTGAGTTCCCCATATGGGTGCAGGACTCCATGTGGGGAAAACAAGAACAGACCCACTGCCTTCCCAACAAGCATTTGCAGGAGTTCACTAATAAAAGGCTTCCTTCAAAGTAGGAGTGTATCTTCCTGAGTGGCAAGGAACCACCAACTGCACACAAATAAGTAAGTAAAACAGATGTACACGCAAATCTCAAGCCCTGGCACAAAGCCAAAGTCAAAATGGAGAAACAATCAAGACTTCCTGCCCTAGATTACAGCTAGTGAACAAAGAAGAAGAAATCTTAGGGTATCCATAACAAACAACTTTGTTTCGATTAGTCACTGCTCAAAGACTGCTATGCCAGAAACAATTTAGCTAGTCAAGACAGAGTAATTGCTAACTTACTTACCTTCATACAAATCTCAGCAATATCAATCAAAACAGACAGCCACATCTTATGTACATAAAAAAACTGTTACATCCACACATGAAGAATTATCACAGTGACATTGGCAAGGAAGACAAGAGTTAAAGTTACAAATATCACATATGGAGACAGCAGCCCTAGCAGTAATTGTCATACAGTCTCTATCAAATTCTGCTGCCAGCGGGAGGGACTTGGTGGTTCTGCAGATGGAGGAGGTGTGGTCTTCAATGCGACCTCAGAAGTTGTGGAGTCAAAATCAGATGACATCTTTCGGTGTCGTCTTTTGCCATTTGTCCATTTTCTTACGAGATTGTCAATCTTGATGGGAATGAACGATAAGAAATATATTAAAAGGGGATATTATAATTTTTAATAACCACACAACTCTTGCAACTGACAGTGAGAAAAAAGATGTGTGTGGGTTTGTGAGTGGAGGCTGTTATTTTGTTATTTAATTTAATATATTCAAGTATGTGTCCAAGCTCACGTGCTCGTGTGCATGCGTGCCCACGCTTATGCCTATTATTAATTCTTAGTACTTACCTGGACAACTCAAAAGGCATGGGAGAAAAAAACAATACCCCACAATACCCCTTCTAAAAAATCTGCTAGATTTCAAACTGGCTTATTTTCTAGACTGTATGTGTCAGTATACCTCTGCTATCATTACTGATTAATAACACATATATCTTTCTCACCTTCTCTCCCAGGAAAGACATTAGGGTCATGACCACTAGAACTGCTAAAGCTACGTGAGTCCAGAAACGTAATCTATCTCGATACAACCGCCTGGAAAAGCAAACAATGCTGGCAATCAGGATACAAATAACATTACTATATTTTGTAGAGGAAAAGCGAGGCAAATATACATATATAAATTTAACAGCAATTAACAACATTACTTTGGAACTCTGTGTTGGCTGTTGAAGATTGGGATTGAGCGCTTTTGGGAATGCCCTGAATCTGAAGATGTGGGGGTTTTGTTTTTTTTAGAAAAATACAAAGAATATCATGGATTGATAGAAAACATAATGAGGCAGCCCTGTTCAACATAGATGCACTCTGAAAAAAAAAAAAAATATAATGTTCAACATGAATTTTTTCTTCTGCTTCAGTATTACGAGCCCTTGAGGTTCATTGCTGCAGATACCGCCCGCCTCCATTCATCTCTCTAGTTGGTTTTGTCTTTCCAGTTGGTGACAACAAGTGTTTGCAAGTCTGTCTGGACATTATCTCTCCATCGTCTTCTTGGTCTGCCTCATTGTCAAGGACCCTTCAGCTCCCTTGTGTATACAGTTTTTTACCTCTCTGTCACCTGAAATTCTCTCAATATGCCCCAGCAATTTCAGTTTATTATACTATATTTAACCCTGAATTTACTATGAAATATATTAATAATGTTAACTCTTTGAGTCCCAAGGAATGCATCATACGTTCATAGGTTCCTACCTAGAGGCCCAATAAACGCAAGATGCGCCGATTTTACATCTCTTTTGACTACCCTTTGGGTCTCTGATGCTAAACCCCCTCGGACTCAAAGAGTTAAAAATGAATTAAAATCAAAATGTCAATAATGCTGGACCTGAATTGACAATAAAATGTGAATAATGTTAAACCTTAATCAGAATAAAAATATAAAAATATACTGATACATTTAATAGAATAACAATATAATGCTCCTATCCAGTGTTGCCACTTTGGATATTTTACATCCAGATTGGGATGTTTTCAGCTTGCATTTAGATGACGTTTTTGACGTTTAGATGGTAGATGTTTCTCTAGATGTTTTTCATATGGAGTGAATTTATCAAATCTAACCCAAAAAAAAGGAAACAATTTGACCTCTTAAATGCTATCTTGACAATGAATTTCGGCCTAATAAGAGTAGGAAAATGCTGTTCCACTTATCAGCTCCCTGATTGTGTATTAAAAGAAATTGGAACAGCTAAAGCATACTAGAGTCATTTTGGATCTGAAGCTTCAAGTTCATCATTAAAGCTAAGTTCATCCCATGGATCTTGAAAGGCAGACTTCAGTAAAGATGAGGACATGATTCTATAGGGTAAGTCATATCAATAGCTATGTAATATATGACTATTTCTATTTGGATGTTTTTTCTAGATGTTTCCACGCAAATTTAGATGTTTTAAGATATTCTTTGACTCCATTTTAGATATTTTTTGTCAAAGAAAAGTGGCAACACTGCTCCTATCTCTAGAAAACAAATCCAAACAGGTGACAGCAAATGCACCTACCATTCTCTCAACTCTTCCATGTGCAAAAATCTATTTCTGTAGTCCCGGGCCAGCTCAAATTGAGATGGAATCGGAACTAGAGATTCATAGAAGTCTTGAAGAATTGACTTTACCTGTGAAATAAAATTATTATCGAACCATGAAAGGTTAAAATCAACATTCCTGTAACTTTGATAATCGTGCACATATGTATGTGTGTGTGTCTGTGTGTGCAAGCTTGCTTGCATGCTCATATAAGTGTGTTTGGGAAAGGCATGTGTGTGTCTATGTGAAGAGGGAGGAAGGAGGTTAAGTGTGCATGTGTGTGTAGGCATTTGTATGTAAGTGTATGTTGTTTGGAATGTGTGTGCATGTGTGGGTCTGTGTGATGTGTTTGGGGATGTGTATGCACATGTGTATAACTGTAAATGCATCACTATCAAACACCTTACCAAATGGTGTGAGCAATTTTATCTATCTCTACTACGCTCAATATCAATGTATCAATTCATCACCTAGCAGTGAAGACAGGATTGCTACCAAAACAGTGGCAAGCTTCACTTGCAAGGTAACAGGTAGAGAGCATACTTTGGATTTTTTCTTTGGGCCATGCCGGCATAGTGGGGAATGAACAAGCAGACAGACAGGCTGGATCTGCACCGCTGCGTGGTGAATTGATACATGACAAGGCAGATGTGGTCAGAGCCATATGGGAATATGTAACGTAGTCAAAAGAGAAACTAGATTATTATGGGCTGGAGAGAATGATGCACCTGGGTGTGGCCAGAGGGAGCGGCCAGCACACTATGCTCAGAGGAAAGGCAAGACAGACATATAACCAGACTACGACTGGCTCCATGTGTAATGGAACTCTGCGCCGGCTGCTGAGGATGGAGACAGAGCGCATACTGGAATGCCCCGAGTGCTGTGATGTCAATTCTCAACTCAACTCAACTCAACACTTAATTTTCATTGGTCATGCCATGATACTGTGGCTATCTAAAAGCTTTTCTACGTGTTGTCTGTCCTATTATAACTCTTTTCATTCATCATCATCATCAGTTTGTTAGGAAAAAAAAATTTTAAATGGTCACGTTCAACCAGCATCCCCGAAGGGAAGGGGAGCTTTAGATTATAACTGTGGCTAGGTTATGTGCGCCATATAAAATGGCTTAGCACTGCACGGCACCAAGAGCCCTGAAAATGATTCATGCGGTGTTGATGCGATCAGAGGAGACAGACCCAAAAATTATCCCTACAGGTGACAAAGTCATCTACCGATGAGCCAATGGGGGGACCTGGTCGCCAATGACTTTTCATTTACTCTTTCAAGTTATTTCTATTTCCAGGTCTGCCCTTAGCCTTGGCTGGCAGTTGGTCTAGAAGGGAACCTCAGAAAGGCGAACAGAAAAGACACTGCTCTTCTGATCTGGCAGCTTCTGCAGCATCCTTTGTTCTAAACATAGTGATGTAACTTTTCTATGGAGTAAACAAGGCCAGGTGAGAGAGGGATCCTGACACATGGGCAACCTGAAGTCTCTGTAATACTGCCCTGGCATTGCGCTACCGAGATGAAGAACTAGACAGACTTGTATTGCCATGTGCTGTTATTCCAACGCCTCTCTATAGCATATATAACACTATCATCTGGAAAGTCAGAAGGAAGAAAACTCTTCTTGTGTTATCGAGAAATGATAAGAATCATTTGAACTAAAACATTTACAAACAAGTTTGAGCAATACTGATTGTTGATTGTTAAATTAGGAATTGACATCACAGCACTCGGGACACCCCTGTAAGTGCTCTGGGGTGGGGTGAGGCAGGGGGAGGGATGGGGGGGGCAACAAAAGAATACTTACAGTTCTAGCTTCATCCCTTCTGTGATCAATGTTGTCATTGAGACAGATGAACTTTCTGTAATATAAGACAGAATGTCTGTGTGACATCTCAAAGACTTAACAGCATACATATTATCACAACTACGTGACATATCATAGACTTAACAGCATACAAAATGTCACAATTGCATGATATCTCAAAGACTTAATAGCAGACAGATTGTCACAACTCCTTGATATAACATACACTTAACAGCATACAGATTGTCACAACTCTATTATGACACCTCAAAGACTTAGCATCATACAGACTGTCACAATTCCTTGATTTAACATAGACCTAACAGCATACAGATTGTCACAAATGTGTGACACCTCAAAGACTTAACATCATACAGATTGTCATAACTCCTTGATATAACATAGACCTAACAGCATACAGATTGTCACAAATGTGTGATGTCTCAAAGACTTAACAGCATACAGATTGTCACAAATGTGTGACATCTCAAAGACTTAACAGCATACAGATTGTCACAACTCTGTAAAATCTCAAAGACAAAAGCATATACTCTGGAAATTAGAGACAACCCATAATGTAGCTTGTAACCACAAAAGTCACAATCTCAAACCACCATGAAGGTAATTTATTTATTTTCCCTGGGTTTTCAAGCAATTTAGTCTAAAACAGGTATCAAGAAATTCCTGGGAAGTAAAGGGGGTCAATATGATTGAGACTAAATAACGCATCAAGTGCAAATAGGTCTATAAAAGCACAAGGCTAGCATTATAAGCCCACTTTGCTTCAAGGCATTGAATGGAAACATTGATTGTCACTTTCATTTACTCTAAAAATCTTCTCCCTCTTGATACTGACTGACAGCCAAGCATTTCTAAACACACTCTTCAGTAGCAAAGGTAAACAAACACACACATACAAAGCATTCAGGAAGACATTAATACTGACACAAGAAAAAAAAATCACTACACATATATGGCCTTTAACACTACTTGGTGCTGTAATTCAAATGGACTTTAAAAAAAAAAATTGTTCAGACAATTAAGAGAACATGAAGGTTTTTGAGATGTGTTGATACAAACAGTGAGCTAGAAGAGACTCAATGGACAAAATATGAAAACAGAAAAACTAGTGAAAATCTACACAAAATGTAGATTGTCTTGGATTGGTCATACTAGAAAAACTTGAGTACTACTAAAATACTGGAGGGTAAAATATAGGATACTTAAGAAACATACATAAAAGACTGGAAAGTGACACAGACTTTACTAAAATATCAGATGGCCAACAGGATTTGACTGTTGGGTTTGGCATGGCTGCTCAAGATCCATCAGTTGAAGAAGAAGCAGAAGATTATGTACATACATTAGTGTTTTATATACAACTTAAACTTCACAGTTTTTTATTGTTGCAATCCTTCTTTTTTTCTGTTTCTTCTTCCTCTGTATTTATGTTTAATAGAGTGGTTGGCACACTATGTTGTGGTTTGAGATAGGCTGTGACATCTGTACTTTTTGGACCAACACATGTTAGTTTGGAATCGTGTCCTTGGGGATCCATGGGAACGGCTCAGGTTGACCAGTGAATGTAAAAGCTGCTCAACGCCAGCGTTCAGGATAAGGACTGCCAGCTTAGTTGAAGTGTTACTAGTTGTATTGTTCGTTGTACATTAAAGATTATGTTAGGTGCGTGTCTTAAGTGTGTTCGTAGGGTAGTGAAGTCTGTTAGCTGGCCTACCTAGCGAGCCATAGAAAATACATTAGTAAATTAGGTCACTGACATAGGGTGCCGGGTTCTATCCCAGCTGCCCCTTGGAAGCAAACAACATTGTATTGGTTTTGAAAGTGGTATAAAGAGTAAGGAAGCAATGGAATGCTTCTTCCTAATGCTGTATGGCGTTGGTAGTCCATGTCTATTTACAATCTTGTGTACTTTCAATCCCACTCTGACACATATGATCCTCCATGCCATGATGTTAAACTATCCAGCATCTTTTCTCTCGGTCTCCCTCTGCCTCTCCTCCATTTCAATTTTCCAAATGTCACCATGTACTCCAGTCTTCTCCTTCTGATGACACATGACCAAAGAATGTAGATTGTCTCTTTCTGATGTGGACAATCAGTTCTCTTTGTGAGTCAGTTTCTTTCAATACGTCTTCACTGCTCTCTTTATCTGTCCAGGAAATTCACGATTCACTTCCATATATCAAGATAGATTTTTTTTAGCTTTTAACAATTCTCTTTCTTGTCTCAACTGACAAAGACAGATTACATAAAATATTTTTCATTTTGTAAAATGCTGACTTTGCTTGAACTATTCTACATATAAATTCTTTAATACATCGTCCATCCGATGTTATCAATGGAAAGTTACTGAATGTAAAATGCCTAGTGAAACCACAAACAGGCAACTGCTGGGGTTTTGTTTCTCCAACAACCTGTAAAGGATACACAGCTAACTTTTTCTTACGACAAGTTTCTTAAGGGGCAGTAGATCTATGCTTCTTTCCCCTAAAAAAGAGGTTCTGGCAGATGCTCGAGGCTCAGAGGAAAGGCAAGACGGACACCATTAGTATCGGAACTCTTTGATGGCTGCTGAAGATGGGGACGACGCACTTATGAGAATGCCCCGAGTGCTGTGCATTCGATTCTTGAATCAACTCAACTCAACTCCCCTAAAATGGGAGCTGGAACTCACAAGGGGGGCATTTAAATCATGAATTTCATGCACTCTTATCACAATCTTTTCTCTTATGGGGGAGCCACCATGGTGTAGCAACTAGATGCATAACTGCGGATCCAAAAGGTTGTAGGTTCAGATACTGAAGATGCCAAACTGTTATTTCTTCAAATGACCTTGGCTCCTCTGTCGACACAGCCTTAAATGGGTACCAGATAAAAGGTTTGGGAAGTAAAGGTGGCCGGTGTGATGTTGATCACATCACCAACAGAGTGCCGACTGGTGTATAGCACATAAGTCTAGCCTTATACTCAACAGGCCTGAACTCAGGAAACAGAGTCCTTTACCTTTCTCTTATTGCTATCTTTTTCTTTTTTTTTTTTTTCATTTTTATTCAATTAATGGTACTAATGTAGTATGACACAATTTAGAATTCAATTTTTTAAACTATACAAAGCTTCTATCATTTGAACTCCTGTTCAAATCACTTCCCAGTATCTGGAATATAACTTTGTTATCTAGAATATAACTATGTTTCTGGACTGTAACCTTATTTCTGGACTATAACTTTTGTTGTTTTTTTAAATATCGAATCTAACTAATCAACATGTTTGTAGACTTCAGAGGAACTTGATGATTTCAAAATACTGATCTCTGGATTTGATCAAAGGTGCATTCTTCTCTAATAACGAGGGGAATAAAGAATGAATGTATCTCACTGAATAAAATACTAATTAACCTAATTTATGCAGCTCCATACTTACTTAGGATGTTTTCTGATGTCATCCAGCTGACCCACCACATGGGACACATTGGTATGCACCATTTTGAAGGCAATGTCATCATCATTCACTATTGTAGTTCTGGGATAATTAGAAAAGTGGTGAAAATAGGGGTGACTGCGATCAAGCTAATACCAAGAAAGAAATCCAGTGAACTGTGAGAAAGGCCGGTGCTTTAATAATATCCTACCCCAAACAGGGAAAATCCACAAGTCATGGGACAGTTTAATATTTCCAGGGGTGGTAGATAGGCTCAAAATTGGTGGCAACCCTATTCCGGAACTCTGCTACGCAGACGAAACAGTCCTCCTTTCAAATAGCGTAAAGGGAATAGAAAATTTAATATTGTCTGTCCAAAAACACAGTGAAGATCAAAATCTGTTCTTGAATTTAAAAAAAACGAAAATAATGTCCTCAGATAAAACTGGCTGTCACCCAAAAAATAACAATAAATAATGAAGAAATTGAAAATGTCACAAACTTTGAATATCTAGGCTCTATAATAAACAGCAATGGAGACTGTTCAGCATAAATTAAAAGGAGGATGGCCTTGGCAATGCAAAGATTGAACAGTCTTAAAAGTCTATGGTTAAGCACCAGCAAGGAGATAAAAATTAGAATTTTGAGAGCATGCATCTTCCCTGTGGCTACATACGGATGTGAGTCGTGGACTATCTCTAAGTCCTTAAGAAAGAGAATAGGGGATTTTGAGCTGAAATGCTATAGAAAGATTCTCAGAATATATTGGACAAAGAAGAGGAGAAATATTGACATCTTAAAAGATCTGAACATCAAGGAAGATTGGCTAATAAACAGCATCCTTTCTCAGGAACTGAAATATTTTGGTCATATCAAGCGCCACAACGGATTGGAAAAAACTATAGCGGAAGGCATGGTACCAGGAAGGAGGGACAGGGGCCGGCCGACACGAAGATGGGCACAGGATATAAGTGACTCCTTGAGTATGAAAGTATATGAGGCAGGAGAACTGGCGAGAGACCGAGTTTCTTTCAGGCAGACTGTGATGAGAGCGAGGTTCTGCAAAGGACCTGCTACATGATGATGATGGTAGATAGGCTGCATGCAGTCGTGGGACCTAGGCTGCACTCTCTTGTAGGACATAGCTGGGTTGGGGTAGGCCAGTTCTATATGTTTTGGCGTCATAAAAAGCATCAGAAAGCCGGGAAACCCAGTCTTACCACCCTCTAAAATGTTATACTGTCCTGTGACGTCATCTAGGATAGGATAGTAATAAAGAACCGAAAGACCCAGGTCAAAAGATCGATTTATGTGTTTTGTGCACACTGTTCTGCTTCTCCATTTCATTAAGGTTTTAAGTCAGAGTTCACTGGATTAATTTCTTGAAAATTAGAAACAAGATTAGGCTAGTTTGGACGAATGGTTGTGGATATTGGATGCATGATTATGGATATTCTGTAAGACTTAATTTTAGCTCTTTCAGTCACAAGAAGCACCTGAGGTGTGACTGGCTCTTCCCCTTGAATCTCTTTTAGCTCCACATCAAGTACAGCTTTTATCAAACCTGACCTTAGCCACCAGGTCGCTCAAGTCTAAAATACGTACAAGGTTATGCCCTAGGACAGGGCTATTCAACTAAGTTTGCTCAGGTACCAAAATGTAGAAAATAAGGATCATTGCGGGCCAGAAGACCAAGCGCCTGCACAGAAAGATCATATAATACTGATAATACAGTTGGCAATTATCCGTGGGCCACTTACTAGGTCTCAGCAGGCCATATTTGGCCTGCAAGCCGCCAGTTGACTAGCTCGGCCCTAGGAAGTAAAGAGTGCCGACTGGTCTTTACAAATTTGAGTCTACATCATATATTTAATACTATCACTAGCATAAAAAGTGTCTTTAACTTACCTGAATCTCAGCCATCACATAATGTGTTCTCTTATATTTTTTTTTACACTTGGTCAAAAGATACTAAAGAAAGCTGGCCTTACTAGTGAAAACTTCATAAGCTGATCTTTATTTCTTTAAGGATGTTCTTCATGCCAACAACATTTTATTTTCTGCATGGTCTTCCCTTGGCTCTTTTCCAGTATATTTCTTCAGCCTGGCTCTCTGTGGCAGGTGATAACAGGGCATTCTCATCGGATGGCCAAACCATCTCACCTGTTGCTCTTTAATCAACTGTATGATTGATTTCCGCCCGTGTGTCACCGGGGCCCTCACGGGAAGCAAAGAATAGTGACACTGCACCCTACCAGGCATGTCGTAAAAGGCGACTAAGGGTAGGGTTGGGCGTGAGGTTGGCTACCTCATCCTGTAAAAACCATAGCCACAAAAACCAACCAACCATGGATAAGTCAAAAAGAGAAGCAAATAAACTCCAGCCAACCAAGATGAGAGGAGGCTCTTCAAATTGAAGAAGTATGACACGGTGTGGAGAAAGCCGTAAGGAGTCCGGATCGTTGACTTACCTCCTCTCAGCTAGGAAAACCTCCAGAATTGGCACCTGGAATGTTAGAACTCTCTATGATATAGGGAGAACAATGGAAGTAGCAAAGGAAATGAAACATTATAGAATTAGTATTTTGGGGTTATGTGAAACTAGATGGACTGGGACAGGGAAAAGTATTCTCAATTCAGGAGAAACTATTTTGTTCTCAGGACACACAGAGGAAAATTCGCCGCACAGTGAAGGAGTGGCCCTGATGCTTTCAAAAGAAGCAGACAGAGCACTAATAGAATGGGAAGCTGTGAGTCCCAGAATAATAAGAGCATCTTTTAGAACAGTAAAACAGAAGGTGAACATGTCGGTAATACAGTGTTATGCACCAACAAATGATAAAGATGCATCCATTAAGGAAGAATTTTACATGCAGCTTCAGAATATTATAAATAATGAAAGAAAGGGCAACTTAAAAATTTTGATGGGTGACTTGAATGCTAAGATAGGATCAGACAACACAGGTTATGAAGAAATTATGGGGAGACATGGTCTAGGAGAAATGAATGAAAATGGAGAATTGTTCACAAATTTTTGTGCAGGTAACCAGTATGTTATTGGTGGAAGTATTTTTCCCCATAAAAGTATACACAAGGCAACATGGGAATCACCAGACCATAAGACAACTAATCAAATTGACCACATATGTATTAACAAAAAGTTTAGATCATCCCTTTACGATGTTAGGGCTTTCAGAGGTGCCGATGTATTTACTGACCATTTCCTGGTGATAAGTAAAATCAAGTTGAAACTAAAAAGATATATAACATCTTATAATCATAGAAACCAATATAATGTAGGCTTTCTCAGAGATAAAGAAATTAAGGAACAGTTCTCAGTTACGGTCTCTAATAAGTACCAGGTGTTGCAGCAGTTAGCTGAAGATGTCAACACAGAAGTCTGCTGGGATCAGATCAAAGGAATCTGGAATGAATCTTGCGTAGAAGTTCTTGGCAAGAAAGAAAGGAAACATAAAGCATGGATAACACCAGAAACCATTAAATTGATTGAAGACAGGAAAAGTAAAAAGGCAGAATTAAACAATAGCAAAACTAGAGCTGCTAAAGCTAGAGCTCAGGAGAATTACACAGAAGCCAACAAGGAAGTTAGGAGGCATATAAGGGCAGATAAAGTGAAACATCTAAATGATCTAGCACAAGAAGCAGAGACAGCAGCAGCAAAAGGAAACCTCAGAGAACTTTACAGCAACACAAGAAAATTAGTAGGTAAATATAGTCAGCCAACTGGATCAATCAAAAATAGTCAAGGAAAGGTACTTACTAACACTAAAGATCAAATGGACAGATGGGTTGAATATTTTGAAATGCTTCTAAATAGACCAGGCCCAGAGGTTCCCCCATATATCCAGCCTTTAGAAATGGAACTGAATATCAACTGTGAGATACCATCCAAAGAGGAAATTAGAAAAGCTATAAATCTTCTTAAGGAAGGAAAGGCGTCAGGCCCAGATGGTATCCCAGCTGAAGCCATCAGGACCAACATAAACACATCAACAGAATTGCTACATAGATTATTCATTAAAGTCTGGGAGACCGAAGAAATACCAGCAGACTGGAGAGAAGGATATCTTGTGAAACTGCCCAAAAAAGGTGATCTACAGGAGTGTGAAAACTATAGAGGAATTATGTTGCTGTCAGTTCCTGGAAAAATATTAAGTAGAATTATTTTGGAAAGATTAAAAGATGCTATTGATAAAATGCTAAGAGATGAGCAGGCGGGTTTTCGGTCCAACAGATCCTGTACTGATCAGATAGCCACATTACGTATTATAATAGAGCAAAGCATTGAACTGAACTCACCACTTTACATTGGATTTATAGACTATGAAAAAGCATTTGACAGCATTGATAGGGAATCTCTCTGGAAATTGATGGGGCACTATGGAATCCCACAGAAAATTATCAACTTAGTAAAGGCAACATATAAAGACATGAAATGTCGAGTTCTTCATGAGGGAAAGCTAACAGATGCATTTGAAATAAAAACAGGTGTGCGACAGGGATGTCTTTTGTCGCCTCTCCTATTTTTACTGGCTATAGACTGGACTATGAAAACAGTAACTGCTAACACCAAGAATGGAATTCAGTGGACCCCTACAAAACAGCTTGATGATCTGGACTTCGCTGATGATATTGCCCTTCTGTCCCATTCACGGAATCAGATACAAGATAAATTAAATATACTTAATGCGAGATCACAGCAGCTTGGTCTGAAAATCCATAAAGGAAAGACAAAGATAATGAGAATAAATCAGGCAAATAGTAATGTGGTTTCTCTTAATGGCACCCCACTCCAAGATGTGGAGTCGTACACCTATTTGGGCAGTAATGTAGATAAAGTTGGAGGAACTGATAGAGATATTAAAATAAGAATACAAAAGGCAAGAGGGGCTTTCATAGCACTAGGGAATTTGTGGAGGTCAAAAGAAATTAAAAGAAATACTAAACTAAAATTTTTAATTCTAATGTCAAATCAGTACTATTGTATGGGGCGGAAACATGGAGAACAACGAAGGCAATTACTAATAAATTACAGACATTCATTAACTGGTGCCTGCGCAGAATAGAGGGAATAAAATGGTATGATAGAATAACTAATGTAGAACTTTGGGAGAGAACTAAACAGGCTCCAGTGGATCAGGAGGTGAGGAGAAGACGCTGGCGTTGGATAGGGCACACACTGAGAAAACAGGAGAACAGCATAACTAGAATGTCTTTGCATTGGAACCCACAGGGGCATAGGAATAAAGGAAGGCCAAAAAACACATGGAGAAGAGAGCTGGAGAATGAGGTTAGAAAGATTGGGAGGACATGGGGAGAGCTCCATGTAATGGCGAAGGATAGAACGACTTGGCGTGAGTTGGTTGAGGGCCTATGCTCCATTGGGGGATAAAAAGGCAGAAGAAGAAGAATGATTGATTTCAGGCCTACCTTTTTTCTAATCTTCTTTTTTCTTTATTTTCAATGTTATCATTTCTTGTTACTCCAGCTGCTCTCTTAAGACATATCACCTCTGCTGTTGATCATTTTATGCTCATTAGTTTTGGAAAGGGTCCATGTCTGATAATGGTACCATAAGGCTGGTGAAAAAAAATAGTTCTTATCACATTTGCAAACAATTTACTACTTACTTGTATTTTGGGACTGGCCTGAATTTGCTCTTCACTAGTTTAACTATTTCCTCACAATGCAGAAAGAGGTACTTGGTCACAAGGGGCTGGAAGACAAAGCATAGTATATGTGAACTTATAGTCTGACTGTGATTTGTTTTTAACAAGCCTGAACCTTTAGAGAACTTACTGTCAGACAGTGAGAGAAAGAAAGACAGAGAAAGTCTGTGAGAGAGGAAAGAAATAGAAAGCATGGCAGAGTGAGAAAAGAAATAGGGGGAGAAAGAGTATATGTGAATGAGAGAGAGGGAGTAAGATAATGACAGAAAGAATGTAAGAAACATTTAGGAAAGGGAAAGTGACAGAAGGTATAGAAAAAAAAAAAAAGAAGTTGTAAGGGAGAAAGAGAGAGCTGGTATGGAAAATTAAGGGGGACTGGAATATTAAAAGAAAAAGTCAGACAGAAGAGTGTATGAAAAAGAGAAAAGATTGAAATTGAAAGTGAGAGAAAATATATGCATAAGACACACAAATACACAAAGAGTTATACACAAGTACATATCCTCTGTATCGCACACATCACATATACACACACATGCACAAGAACTCTCAACAACTGACAAATACAATAACCCAAGCTCTCTAGGTCATAGACAATTTATACAAGGTCAGACAATTAAGTAATGAGACTAATTTTATTATGGCCAAGACAAAAAAGCTATCTATGAACTAAAGCATTCAATCTAAAGAGGCAACATTCATCTATGATCTGGCAACTTTTCATCAACGCTCGATAAACAGAAAACAATCAAGCAGCCATTTTGATGACCTAGTCAGATATGTATTGTTATGTAATCAGCACACAGCAAAAAGGTAACATTAAATTCTTTTTAAAACTCCAAAAAAGCGCCATTGAAACAGTTGAATTGATGCAACAATTTTATGGGGATAATTGTTTATCTCATGCACAAATTTTCAGGTGGTATTTACAATTCAAAAGTGGTGTGGAAATGATTACTAATGCACCTAGACCTGGACGCCAAATTTCTGTTCGTAATGATGAACTCATTGCAAAAGTGAGAGAGCGGATATAAGAAGATCACTGTTTTACTGTGAGGATGATGGCAGATAAATCTGGTGTTAATAGAGAGACCATTCATAAGATTTTAGCTCAAGATGTTGGCAAGAAAAAGTTGATTGCCGGTTTGTACCACATTCGTTGTCCGTTGACCAAAAACATCAGTGGGTTGAGTACCCAAAAGCCATCCTCAAAACAAGAATTTTTGGTCCAAAAACAAGTGTGTGTTCTCAGCCTGTCAGTCTATTCCCCAGATTTGGCTCCCTGTAATTATTTTCTATTCCCAAAATTAAAGTTACAATTGAAAGGACACCTCTTTAACGATATTGATGACATCCAAAGGGCCATAACATTGACTTTAAGGGCCATAAAAACAGAAGAACTACAGAGGTCGTTCCAGTGTTTGTTAGATCGTGCCACTTGCTGTATCAATGCACAAGGTGCTTACTTTGAATCAGATACAGGTTAGATCTTCAACTGTTGATTATTTTAATTTTTATGGAATTAGTCTCATTACTTAATTGTTGGATCTTGTAAATAATTACCATAGTTGTGAAAGATTTTCTTTTACTTACATGCATACCATAACTTACGTAAGTTATTTACGTTGTTCTAGAATTCTTTTTTATTATTAATTCAATATATGCCATCACTCTGAAGGTATGTCTTTTTAATTAAACACATACCTATACTCTAAAGGTATTGTTTTTTATTTTTATTTCAATAATATCATAACTCTTAAAAGTATTTTTGTCAAATAAATATAAACAATAACTCTGACTATAGTGTTTATCAATTTCAAATTCAGGAAATTAGACTTGACAAAGCCATGAGGCCCCTACCGTTTTAAATTATATCTCTGAAAACTTAAAAATATAAATTAATAATTTTTGGAGAATGGAAATATAATAGGTTAGTCGCATATCCTTTACAGGACGTTGCAGAACCAACCCTGGCTAACACATACAAAAAAAATTATACTCATGATAAAAGAGACTTACCATTTTCTTGTCATAATAAACCTCCCGTTGGTCGTCCGAGAGGCTCTGTAGTGTGGGGTCTGTAACTGTGTCGGAACAGTTCACAAACGTAGTCTCTAAACCAGTTAATGTCTGCCAAATTAAAATCATGATAGTCAATTGAAAAGTATCTTAATACAATTGTAATCAATATTTTTGATTTACTCACACCATGCAACATGGTCCATGGCATTCTGTTCCCACCGATCTACCTCAATACCTGTATTACTCCTGCCCCGCTTGCACACATCTTTAGTAAAGGCCAGACTAGACATATTTTACTCATCTGTACTTCTCCACAGAGGATGTCCTTAGGGAGTCTCTCATCCTCCACCCTCCACGTGTGACACAGCCACCTGAGCCTTTGTAGACTGAGCACTGAGAAAACTGTTGTGATATCTGCTCTTTCCAATACCTCAGTGTTTGTAATTATGACTTGCCACTTAACCCGATGTATTCTTTTTAGGCATTGCATGTGAAAGCTGTTCAGCAAGGTTTTTTTTTAGTGTAAAAGTTGACCAAGTTTCATAGCCATAAAGCAGAGTGCTGAGAACACAAGACCGAAAGACAAGATTTTTTTTTTTCAATCGTGATCTTTCTGTTCTCCTAAACTCTTTTTGTTAGTCTGTCCACTGTTGCTGCTGCCTTGCCTATCCTGATGTTGAGTTCTTGGTCCAGCAATAGTTTGTTATTCACTGTGGATCCCAGATATGTAAAATGGTCAACGGTTCCAGCTCTTCGCCATCAATGTAGACTGCAGGTCCATGTTTAACACCTGGCACCATAACCTTTGTCTTCTTTTTGCTGACTGTTAGTCCAAATTCACAGCATGCATCAGCAAAGGCAGATAGTAAACATTGCAGCTCCTCCTCTGAGTGGGTGATTATTGCGGCATCATCTGCAAACAGCAGCTTTCTGATCAGTACTTTCCTTATCCTGGTTTTGGCTTTCAGCCAACGAGCACTGTAAAAGCTGTTGTTAGATCGAGAATGGATGAATATACCACCATATCTCCACCCCCGAACGCGAAAAACATTTTCCAAAAGAAGTTAGAAGTATTTTTTACAGAGGGTAACTGCACGTACAAATCCAAGCTTCACTACATTGTTGACTGCAAACTGCTCCGATGTTATACTGTCAAAGTTGACTGTACTGTTCATACCTGTGTGGAACGACTCAATAATGCTCATTAGGGTAGGCCAACACCCAATCTTCTCCAGCATGTCAAACAGACCTTTATGACTAACTTAATTAAATGCCTTGGTAAGATCAAAAAAAGCAATATACAGTGGTTGATTTTGTTCAGGACATTTTTCCTGCAACTGTCATAACAAGAGTATCATATCAGTGGTAGACCTTTTCAAACGAAAGCCACACTGGAGTCTTTGCAGTACAATGTGCTCTGCAAGGGGTTTGTTTCTACATGCCACATTGCTGTATTGACGTACACTTAGTTGCTAGGATACACCAGAAACGAATGTTCAGTTATAGATCTTTATTCGCTGAATCAAACATCTCACTGACAGTGCATTCTTTCGTCCTCGTGGTCACTATGCATGGCTTATTTCTGATGACCTGGCCAACTCTTTCACACACTGCTTTGCTCTGTTCGTATCTCTTGAATCACACATCCATATGTTGAAACTGGCACCATTACATGCAGATTAGTTCTGGCAAGTACTTTTATAACAGTACACAATAGTGATAGTCCCCATAAATTGTTGCACTCACTCTGATCGCCCTTGTTCTTGTACACAGTCTTGTGAAACCTGTCCCTCACGCCAGCTGAGTGTTATCAGCTGATGAATTTGTGAGGTTAGCATGTCCTAATGATCTCAAGCTAGTTCATAGTTCATCAATAGCATAAACAACCTTTACAATTGTTGAAAATGAGTCCAGGTTATCAAGAGTTGCTAGCACCTTCATGGCTTTAGGAGCACCGTCTGTTAGTTTGGCCTTAGCTTAATACAGCTCTAAATAATGTTTCGCCTGTCTATCTAGCTGCTTATTTTTGTCAGTAATAATCTCCGCATTCAAACTCTTTAGTGATGCACCTTTTTCCTTTTTAAAAATTTTTTTTTTTTTTTTAAATAGTTGGGACGATGGCTTTCTTTATCCTCTCATACAGGCCTTTGATATTACCATTGCTGCTAGCATTTTTAATGCTTTCACAGAAATGGACCCAGTAGTCTTTGGTACTCTGTCTACCTACCTCTTGCAAATGATTTCTAGCTTCTCTCAGTTCACACTAGTGACTGTTATGGAATGATATTAGAATATCACAACAACAAAAATTACTGTTTTAGTAGTGAAATATCGGTAAACAAACAAATGACATGTTAAGAGAAGTTGGAAAAATGAAATAATGTTTTATCCACTTGCCACTGTGGAGCTCAAAGGAAACGCAGTAAAATATATAAAAAAAAATAAAAGTTAATCACTTAGTAATATACAAATAATTATTAAACCCAATATGAATATTAGATGTTGTTCCAGAGAAATTTTTTGAATATCAATGCAAAGCATCATTACTTTTTACCCAAAAAATGACCTTTCAGAATAATCAGCATCTTCACAAGCAACAAACGTATTTTACATATTATCTGTAGTTTTGCAGTTATCTTCTTAAACAGCACTAAAACTAACTGGCACTGAAGACAATGTCATTTTTGAATAATATTTCTTTTTATGTCAGCTGATTCTGTCATCTTTGTATATGGTACACTACAGATGTCCCTCATCAGAGCTTGATTTTGCATAAGACTGAAACAAGTCTATTTTATTACTTTCTTTATCTAACCATACACTTTTGATCAATATGTCATTTTATTTAAATTTTAGATTCTAAAGCTGTTAATCATGTCAGTCTGGGTGATGATCATTATTTGGTTGCACAGTGTTTCCAAACAACTGCACAGCAACGCAGAAAAAAAAACACACAAATATAATACTGTTTAGCTTTTTTTTTTAAAAAGAAAACATACAAATTCACTCTAAAAGTTACAGAACATATATAGACACAATTATTTTTGTGAATTTTTGTGTATCAAGTACAATGTTTATAACCTGTCTGAATGCAAAAGGTGTTGTAAAATTTAATTACATCTGTCTTACGACCAGTTTGTCTTACGATCTGTCAGTCAGACTGGAACAGTCATAAGTCAAGCAGACACTGTATATGCATCTGGCATCAACTAGAACTCTAGGGCAGGTAAAGATTGACATGTGATGCATCCCTAAGGGTCAAAATAGTTAAAAGCATAATTAACTTCACCCAAAAAAAATATGCTGGACAGTTTGGTAACAGTGCACAGAGGATCTTCGTCTTCTTCTTCTTCTTCTCTTCCAACTTGTACCTCAGTGAAGTGTGGGGGGGGGGGGGGGGGGGGGAATGTAACATTCATTGATGAGCTCTGTCAAGAGCACTTTTAAGACTGATATTCATTTCTGTAAGGCTTAATGCCATCACTCCATATTTTCCAAGATCTTCCACTGGCTCTATACCCGTTGTGATACTTTAGTGTGGCTCGCTGTGGCAGATAATACCAGGGCATTCTTGTCAGGTGTCCAAACCACTTCATTTGTTGTTCTTGCACAGAGGATCATCTGTCTCAAACTAGTGAAAGTACATGAGCCAGAAGGCTGTGGAAACATGATTACCAACACTATATGGCATGGACTATAAACTGAAGAAAAAAAAAGAATTAACTTCACATACCTCCAAATAGAGCGGCAGATCATACATTCTTGCTGCTAATGTCCGGATTTCTCTGTCAGATAACACTCTAGCAAACAAAGAGAGATGGGTATGTAAGTACCAGTTTTTGCCTGAAAACAAGACAGTTCTGTACTAAACCAGTTTATAGCGATCGCTTCCAGAAACCTCAGTAATCAACAGTTGCCTGAAGTGTAAATAATTTTAAACGCATCAGTAATAATGCATCTCCTTGTTCCCAGAATTCAAAAGAAGAAGAGCGATCACCATAAACCTGTCTGGTTTTGAATTGTGGTGATAAACAACATATTAAGTACATTAAAACTATCAAACATTTACCTAATTCCTTCCCTTCATCTCTCTCTCGTAATATTTTTTCCTTTCTCAACTCATCTCTCTCTTTCCACATCTCTCTCTTTCTCTCTCTCTCTTTCCACCTCTCTCTCTCTCTCTCTCTCTCTCTTTCTCTCTCTCTCTCTGTTGATGTGTGTGTGAGTATGCAAGTCATTTTTCAACAAATATCACCTACACTGAATTAACTACCCCATTAAACCTCTCTTTGAACTATTACCTCCCCATTTGTACATTCCCTTGTTGGTTGCAGTTCAGTGATCTTCTAACAGCACCACTACTCACCCAGAGTGATCTGTATCCATTGTGTCGAAGACCTGTTCTACAGTAATTTCATCAGTGACTCCCATTAGATAGTAGTAGTAAGCAAAAGCATACTGCATATCTGTAGAGCTGCGGATTTTGTGAGAGGAAGTGGCATCCCACTCGTTGGGAAACCTGTTACAGAGAAGAAAAAAACTGATAGAATGATGTCAGAAAGGAGACGTTCATTAACAAGTATTTGACTTGCAGTCATCTCTGTGTGGGTTTTGGGGCCCCATTATGGGGAAAAACATGAATAGACCCACTGCCTTCTCAGCAAGCACGTTGTAGGAGTCGACTAATTTGGGGGCTTCCTTTGAAGTCGGAGCGCATCTGCCCGAGCGGCAAGGAACAACCAGCTGCATACAAATAAGCCAGCGAACAGATGTACAGGCAAAACTCAGGCCCTGCACAAAGCCTCAGTCCGAGTGGATTACCAGCCAGGATTTTCCACCAGAGCTTACAGCCAGTGAACAAAGAAGAAGAAGAAAATACTGTCATATTTTATGGTGATGTAGTTGTATCCTGCACTTTGAAGGTTGTGAGTTCAGTTATCCCAGTATGAGTTCTGATGCTGGCAGAGGGCGGGGGTAGTAAGAGTGGTGGGGGGGTGGAATACATGCTTAGTGCCTCTTAACAAGCATGTTAAAAGGGTGGTTAGTGCATAATAATGTGGTTTACAGCTAGGCTGACAAACATCAGATGTCAGCAAAAACCTTTGACTTATAAATTTTTTAAGAAATACGTATTATGGCATGAATTGATCTATTCCTTTTTTCCTCAAAACGGTGCCCTGGAAAGAACATAAATCTGAATGATGACCATCACACAAAGGAAACTGGTAAAACAAAATATTTTACCAGTTCTGTTCTTCCTCTTCTTTTTCTGTGTCTACCCTTAAAAGGGTGGCTAGCACATTGTGGTTTACAGATAGGTTGTGATAGGGCACCTTTTGCCCATACATGTGTGACTTCCTAATTAGTCACCTTTTAAAACATACTTGTTATGAGTGTACTTGCTGTGGATTTATTTGTTTTTTCCTTCCATTAATGATGTTCCAGGAGCTGCACTTCTACGATATGCCTCATGTCTCTCTCTTTCTCTCTCTCTCTTAATTTACCCCACCAGGGCATCACACAAGCGATAAAAACCCGGTGACACAAAAAGCCACCATGTGCATGAGAATCACCTGTAGAGAGGTCCCAGAAACTCCGTTCGTTAGAATATATTTATGGCCTGGTTACATTCAGCCCCGGGCAAAAGCCTGGGTGGGGCTTCAAACAACGAAAAATTGCCTCCCACATGGGGACGACTGTTATAAAATATATATGCCTTATGGTCATTACTTGTGCTGCTTATAACTGCAACAGTACTTCAATTATACCCACAGTCAAATTATTTTTGTGAAGAAAAAAAGGAACAAATAATCAAACCTCTCTTGAAGTTCCTGCATGACATTCTTATCAATCATATGAGGCATGTGACCAGGCACTTTGCGAGAAGTTACGCCAAATTCCTTATTATAAATGCGATTAACATGACGCAAAGAATCCCCAAATGTATCTAAAAGTTGCCTCCCTTGCCAGCCTTCAACAATGTATTCATTTTCACGCCTTTGTTTCTCGCTGGGGGCCTGTGAAATGAAAGTAAAACGCATCCATTAAAAAGAGAGAAACAGTTACTTGCGAAGAGACAATAAAAATTCCAATTTATGCTTCACTCTGTTGATTTTTAATCAATATTCTATTTTACTGTCCTTATATATTTCAAAGAAAAACCTGGCCAAGATGGCGGAATAAGCTGCGGCTATCACTATGCAGTTTTGATAAATTTTGTTTTAGGGGATTTCCATCAAATTATTGTTCAAACAAGGATGATCCAACGACAGGCCCAGCAAGCCGGTAGGGGATTTGTTTGTTCAAGCACCATTGCTCGAGATTTATGGTGTATTTTGAAGAAAAAGCGCGATTACACCAGCGCTTCAAACCGCCACACACAAGACAGAGTCACGAAAGAAACACCGGCCAAGATAGACAGATCCGGCACGACAGTTTTTAAGATGGCTACATGGAACATTTGTGGTATGGGGGATAAAGTGGCTGAATTGGTTGAATTTATGATTAAGAGTAAAATCAAAGTTTTGGGAATTGCTGATATCAGAAGAAAAGCTCAAGGCGTCCAGAAAATTCATAAGAACTTTGTTCTGATTTGGAAAGGGACTTAACCACAAGAAACTCATAAACATGGAGTGGGTTTTATCATTGCTCCAGAAACAGCAAAATATTTACTAGATTCAGAAATCGTGTCAGAGAGAATCATAAGTATCAGACTTGCTGCAGGTAAAAGAAGAGTATCGTATATTCAAGTATATGCTCCTTGTAACGACACTTACACTGAAGAAGAAAGAACTGAATTTTTTTACCAACTTAGTGAAACCATCAGTAAAGTTACAGACACTGATGGCTTGTATGTGATGGGAGATTTCAACGGACATGTGGGAGAACGTCGACCTCCATGGTCCACATAAATGGGACCATTTAGTGACAAAGAAAATAAATGTTACAACAATGGAGAACAATTACTCAATGTATGTGCAGAGCATGAACTAATTATCAGCAACACGCTATACCAACATAAGAGAAGCAAGATATTGACCTGGTATAAATGGAATAATATTAACCAAGCATCATAGATAGATTTTATTCTCACAAAAAAGAGCGACAGATGGAGAATAAAGAACTCCAGGGCCATCCCAAATGCAATAATAGACTCTGACCAGAGACCTCTGGCTCTATAAACCATCAAGAATTTGCATTGATAAAACACCACAGCTAATGGATCAGATAACCATAGAGAAACTGAAAGACAAAGATGTGGCAATTCAAGTTGAGGAAACAGTTAAAAACACCTTCAGTGCTCTAGAGAGAGGAAATGACATAGAAGCAGAGTGGCAAATTTTTAAAACCTGCAGCCTGAATATAATGACAGAAAAGTGAAGACTCCGAAAGCCAAGAAGGCACATGAAACAAACAGCATGGTGGAATGAAGAAGTTAAAATTTCTATCAAAGAAAAGAAGAAATATTTTCATCAATGACAAAAGTCCAAATTAGATGAGGACTACATCAAATATAGAAAAGCAAGAGCAAAGAGCAAGAGGAGAGTAAATTCGGCGAAATCAGAATCATGGGCAAACTACGGAGAACAATTAGCAAGGCTATGCACTGATTCACCAGGTCAGTTCTACCGAAGCATCAAGGCTATGAGACTGAGAGAAGAGAAATTTAACCCATCAAAGATCATAAACAGCAAGGCTAAAAAACCACTCACCAAACCCCAAGATGTTAAAAGAAGATGGCAAAAATATTTTTCTGAATTACTGAATAGTGGACCACAAGAACCAGTGTCTAACAAAATAAAATTTGGACAAGAACAAGAACCTAATATATTAGAATCTGAAGTTGAAAAGATCCTAGAGCAAAGCAAAAGAAACAAAGCGGCCGGAACAGATGGTATTACAACAGACATAATACTTGCATGTAAGGCAACAGCAGTAAAATGGCTGACAAGAATATTCAACATGGCCTGGGGAAATGAAAGTTCCCGTTGACTGGCAGAGAGCAATTATAGTTCCTATATAGAAGAAGAAAGGTGATAAACGAGACTGTGAAACATACAGAGGTATCTCTTTACAAAGCCATGTAGGAAAGATGTTTGCAAAAATATTAGAACGAAGAGCGAGGGTGATATTAGAACCTCAATTAAGTAACAACCAGTTTGGATTTAGAAAAGGAAAGAGCTGCACTAATGCAATATTTACTCTTCGGCAAATTTGTGAACAGACAATCGAATATAATAAACACCAGAATCTTATATTCATTGATCAAGAGAAGGCTTTTGACAGGGTTAACAGAAATAAACTATGGAACATTCTTGAAGAATATGGTGTACCGGGTCAATTATTGGGAAACATAATGGCTCTCTATCAAAATAGCCAGAGCGCTGTAAGAACAACGGAAGGTATGACAGACTAGTTCCCCATTACATCAGGAGTACGACAAGGATGTGTCCTATCACCCCTACTTTTCATTACATAAATGGATAAAATTGCACAGGAGTCTAACCAAAACACAGATATTATAAATGAACTACTCTTTGCAGATGACCATTGTTTGTTACAAGAAGAAGAACAAAAACTACAACAACATGTTGATTCATTGATTACTAACTGTACAAAATTTGACATGAAAATAAACACCTCAAAAACTGAAGTAATGACCATAGGAAAGAAACACAGTAATGTAAACATAAAGATCAATGACATACAATTAGAACTAGTTCAAGAATTCAAGTACTTAGGATGCATATTTACAGAAGATGGAAGACTCGATAAAGAGATACAGGCAAGAGTTCAAAAAGCCAATGCAGTCAACTACCAACTGGCCGTCATCCAAAGATCTCGTTACCAGCCAAACAACGGATGATCAACAGCATTTTCATCCCTACGTTATGTTATCAGTGCCAAATGTGGACAATGAACAAATCACATATGCAAAAAATAACTACGTGTGAAATGCGATGTCTCCGAAGAGTCACCAACAATACACAAAGAGAAAGAGTCACAAACGTCTGCATTAGAGACAAAGTTGGAACAAGAGCATGCATGAAACATATTGAAAGACAGAGAATGAAGTGGTTTGGCCATTTAGTAAGAATGCAACCGGATCAGATTGCCTATTAGGCCATTTACAGTAGAACATCGGGAAGAAAGGCCAGAGGAAGACCCAGGAAAAAATGGATAGATGGAGTAGCTGAATACGGCCAGAAGATCCAGAAAACTGTCACTCAAATCACGCAAGAGGCACAAAACAAATATTTTAAACCACGACACTGGGCTGCAACCCGGTAAAAGTGAAGAAGACAATAGATATATATATTTCAAAAAAACAATATGTCAAAATGAATTTCTCTCTTTTTTTTTTTTTAATTTAATTTATTAGTGGC